ATAGGAGTGGAGTTAAAGTATCCATTTGTCTGTGACACAAAGGAACACAGTGGAATGATGCTCGGTATTGTCATTCTGAAAGACAACAATCGGAATAGGCCTAGCAGGAGGATAGACATGGGGAGGGAAGGAATGAGAGGACGCGGCATATTAGCCGCAGGAACAGGCCGACTTGCGGGACTCTGACTTTCTCGAATTCAGCCGTACAGCCCCAGCCTCCGTGAGTCCATCGTGAATCCAGAGGTCAGTGTTACTGTAGACCTTTTCAAACAGTTCGTAGAAGCTGTTGCTGACGCCTTCATTGGTCTTGGCGCTCACCTCGGCGTACAGGAGTTTGTGCAAGCGGGCGAATCGAAGGGCTTCATCACGCGTCACTTGTCGTTGTTCCTGAAAGCAATTGTCGAAAGACTGCAGTAAAACAGCCAAATGCGTGAGGAAACCTCAATACTAAACAGGCACCTTAGCAGTTGTGTTTTGCACGCGAATCGATTAATGAGAGAGGCGTTCGCAGGGTCGGCCCATTTTCTGTCTCCATTAACAACATGCCTTGGTGGCAGAATTTGACCGAGGCAAAGGGATATGAGACAGGGCGCAGTGGTTGGGCAGGTTGTCAATGAATCGCAGGTCAGCCACAACAGCCCCCAGGAAGCAGTTGTGACCTGCACTTAGATAAGATTATAAGGAGGGAGATGGGCACGGCATCGGACTCAGCCTCTCTTCCCATCACCTACCAGAGATAAGACTTGGTCTAGACGACCGGTGGTGAGAATAGGAGTAGTGGCCGACCCGGCATAAAACTCGGGACTATGAGCGTGGAAAACAGCTGGTCTCTCTCTACTGACCGAAGTAAACTGCATAGGCATTTTAATTAGCCTTGGACAGACACCTGGCCGTTCTCGTTTACTTTCTCTCGCCCACTGAGACGGTCCCGTTCAGCATATTGCCAGAGGATCCGTAAACGAGCACTCGGGGCAAGATAATTCAGAACGGAATGAGTAACTCGGGCAGCTGACTGCCAAATCATCAACGTAACTACGCATCCCTGCGGCATCTTTCAAGCAGAGTTGGCGGCAGAGAACACTAGTAATGACAGATAGGATCGCAGACTAAACACAAGGATGATTGTAAGGACTAAACGGTCCAACAGTGCCACAATCTCCCCCAGCAAAAACACACATCTGACCAGAGTAAATCCCACGAAGATTTAAGTCGCAGTGGACATCGTAGTAAAAGACGAATTCTCGGCAAAATGATCCGATAGTCATCGATAGGAAGCACAGGCCAGAGAATTGCCACACTTCTGACGAAGGCTAATTCCATGTTATGGTAGGCAGACTCATTACCACATGGACGTACCGTTGACCACACACATCCATTAGCGTGAATAGCACTGACCAACAATATTGGTTCACCTCGAGCAAATGGCAGCTTTCGGGACGGTTGAACGAGAAGTTCCCTGGAGTCTCCTACTTTGTCGTTCTATGTTGAAGCTCCGGCAGTCTTTCGTACCCGTTTGAAAGTGAACTTAGGGTACCTTGGGCATAACCCCTCTCCCACAAATAATGCCCCTGAATGATGTGACAACTATAGGAATGTTATGAAAAGGGCGTTGACCTCGCCAACGAAGACATAACCAAATCCAGAACGTCTCGATTTCGGGACGCAGAACCACGGTACAATTAACCTCCACGAGGTAGTCTTTCCCTTATACGGAACCAGCGAGAGGTTACAAGCACCTACCAGGTCAAGTTTGTTTCCAATCAGCAGCCGAACCAAATTTGGTCTGTTGGTGTACGTCCATATCTCGTGGAACCACTTCTCCAGGGATTCAAAGGATTCGCGATTGCAGAGGTCAAAAACTGGAAAATAAAGCGATCTCTTTATAATATGAACTGAGGAAAGAAAACACGGTAAACCAAATGCAAAAACCAAAAAGAAAGATGAGGCAGTGGGTGGGAGGACGCAGCTTACGTTTCCCTTCACTCCATCACCCAAGCCTAAAGGCATTCTTGAGGCGGGAAAAGGCGTAAATTTGCGATCATAGTGAGTCGAAGTACTGTTGTGACGAACGGCCCATCGTAGTGATGCAATGGAGAATGAGAGGAGACAATATCCGACACTCACAAGTAACGACTAATGTATCTTCAATTCAGATACGGGCGGAAATGAGGTCAAGTCGAATGGTTTTGCGTGCTTGAAGGAACACCTACGCTATTGTGGTTCAGCCTCGACAGTTGTGAGGTTACCGAAAAACTACGGCTTACCGGCTGCCGATAGCGTTGGAATCAGCACAGACTCCGGCCAGATCGCAATTGGTAGCCAGGAATGGGGAAGCGGACAGGTACCCTAACCCTAATCCTAAGCTTGACCCTAACCTCAACCTCAACCTTAGACGTTAACCGTTAACCCTAACGGGAACCCTAACCCTAACCCTAAACCTAACCGAAATCGTAAACGTAACCGTTGCCCTTAGACATAACCGCAACTGAAAAACCTAACCGTAATACTGCAACCTAGTCGTACGCTCAAACCCTAACCGTAACCCGAAAATCGGAAACCATTAACCGGTACCCTAATCCTAACCTTAAACGTAAAACTGAAGCCAAATGGGTCAGATGTAATTATGGAGCCCCACTAAATAGCCTCAGTAAACAAACCCCCCAGCCACCTGTAATACGGGGCCTGGCTACCAACTTCGATCTAGCCCAGACTCCGTTTGGCGGCAAAAGCCAACAGGTATGCAGTGGCTCGGCAAAAATATACAGTGCGAGGAGTTAATACGGCGTGCCGTTGTGGATGCCAGCACGGCACGAGGAGTGCAAAGGATGACAGTGGGGTCGCAGTTCTTGGCAGTTATTGTTGGAAACTGTAGAAACGCGACAGTCTGTTGTACACAGTGATATAAGTGGATAGCCTTCCGCGCGAACTACCACAGAAAATTCGAAACTCCCCCACTTTCCAATGGCCACAATCACGTCATGCTCGCGTTGTGAGTCAGAGAGAAATTGATGTCAGCCAATGAGCACGGTCCTCAAACGTGGCCGAAAGTCCCGTGGCAGGGCGCCTAGTGAGGTGGTGGGATCGTACGCACTTCATCGAATCGAAGCTCATTCTACAATCCTAGGCTAATTCCTGCACTGTATGATGCCGGCTTTTTATTGGGCGGCCTACCAGACACTCTTGCAACGCACACCTGGAAAGAGAGACTCACTGCAGCAACTCAGAAGAGGCACGGCGGTCCGACATCCCTGCGACAAATTGACGCAGAATGACTATTTGAAGGCGTTTATAAGCCGATGACTAAGTGTCCGTCCACGGAGAATCAAAAAGGAAAGGCCACAGCGGATATGCCCCGCTCCGCTATACATTTAGGACCTTTCAGAGGCGACCGGCACAACACTGCGGGACTAGGTGCGCAGAGTCCTGATAATCAAGGACCGATCAAATCCAATAGAACAGACCGGTGCAACATATCTGAAGATTTATAGATATCTGAATTCTCCATCTCATTCTCTATTGCTTCCCTGCTATTTTTTTCTATCTTGCTCAAAAAAAGTTGTGCCCATTTTAGAACGTGTCCTTTGAATGCTCTCTTCCGCCGCCGGTATTTCATATGCTTTTTGATGGTATCCTAATACAACGAAATTCCACAAAGGTCAAGCGATCCTGCATGCTGTCCATCGCCTTCGCACAGAATGGATTGATGCGAAGTCTGTTGGCTTCATGCGTCATGGCTTTCGGCATATCACATGCCGTACATCGGCATACCAACTTTCCGTATAATCATCTCTAGCACGATACCTTACGTGTAAAGAGACCGAAATGCTGAAACTGAGACTCCAGCTGCCCCCCATAATAGTTGTACAGTTTTATCCGAACCTATTTACTCTCTCATGATCTGCTAAATCGTACTTTGGTAACGGGGACGTAGGAAATTTTTGCTGAAAATGTTGAAATGAGACTTTCAAAATAGAGCATATTCCTCTCTCCTTCTCTCAAACCGTCAGACTGAACGGACGCTCTAATCGTGCGGACACAAACAAAAGCCGGCTGGGCGATAGAATAACGAATTGCCGCAGTCGTAAAAACAGTTGTCCATGTCGAAAGCAGGAACGACTGAGAGCTAACTGAAGACTGAGCCTCCGATGACAGTTCGGCTAACTTGCATAAGGATCAGATACCAGCGCAGCCATCCCCGGGCCTGCGTCACCGACCGATGATTGGCTAACACCCCCTTGTTCTGCTGCTGTCATCTCTGACAATGTGTAACGTCCCTTGATCTGAACAGGGTCGTTTGAATGCTGTGACACTTTCTGGCGCGGACCTGGGATGGCGATGGTGTAACTGCGTGTCGGTGAAGACGGCCGGTCTCCTTTCCTCTCGCTACCGCCGACACCCCGTCCCACAACGCACCGCCGTTCTCGTCGCCCTCTCTCACTCAGAGTCGGCTTCCCCCCTCGGCCCTTCCCTGCAGTTGCCGACAACACTGCATCCTCACCGACTGTTTAGCTAGTATGCCAGGGTCGCCTCTCCATCTAGACAGGTTATCGCATTGCTGTTTCTCATTCTACAAAAAAGATGCTACATCGAAAGATGCTAACAGTTCTATCCAGATCTATCTCCGCCAGGATCTCTTCCCAGCGTTTCCTTACTTTGGTGTGTGTTACCCTTGACGTTCTCGTCCCCTACAAATGGACTACTATGGAAGTTTGAAAGCTCCGAAGAATAAACAAGCGGTTTCGGTTCCCCCCCCCCCCGTCCTCTTAGCACTTATACACGCACCTAGAACTGGAACGTTCGCCCTCATCGAGCAATTTGTCTACTGGTTTGCAATGCCTTATAAACCTAATGTATTTTATAGAATAGATGCACAGAATATGACCTACCTATGCATGTTTTATAGGAAAATTTCGGGCTAGATCGCAGTTGGTAGCCAGGGATGGGAAACGGACGGCGACCTTAACCCTAACCCTAACCCTGACGTTAACCGTTAACCCTAACGGCAACCCTAACCGAAATCGTAGACGTACCCGTGGCCCTTAGACATAGCCGTAACTGAAAAACCAAACCGTAATACTGAAACATAATCGTATGCTCAAACCCTAACCGTAATCCGAAAACCTAAGCCTAAAGGCATTACCCTAACCCGAAAATCGGAAACCATTAACCGTTACCCTAATCCTCCCCTCAGACGTAAAACGGAAGCCAAATAGGTCAGATGTGATTATGGGGCCCACAAAATAGCCCCAGTAAGCCAACCCCCCGCCACCTGTAATACGGGTCCTGGCTACCAACTGCGATCTAGCCAAATTTCGTCCTCTTCAGAATTTGCACTTGAGGGTAAGTAGTATTTCAATTTTCAAAGGGCTGCACTACAATGGTGCCCCATAATTCGTGAACAGCAATAATAGTTCGAAGTATTCTATGAAAGTGCTAGAATCTAACAATCACAAGCCTCTAGAAAATTGAAGTGATTCATTTCGTAAAAATTAAATTCTAGGATGTAGTATGACACGAAAAGAGCAAAAAAATTAGCTTTCGTTCACGTCCCCTAGATAAAATGGCCGAGTTCCTACAGACCTCGACGAATAGCAAAAGATATTAGGGTATTAATTTTAATCAAGTGTAATATGTGTGAGAGGCTGGGAGAGCGCAACATCAGAAGCCAGCAACGGGAATCGGTTTGGGGTTATGTTTCCTGCCGACTGGTTCTGTGGCCCTAAATAAGTCATCTCTGTTAATATGGAAGTTCATGTAAAAGCTGTGCTAAATGTTTTATGCGTTTCGGCACATATCGGGCAAGACGCAGTTAACCGAGCGCATGGCAACGGCAGTTTGACGTGGATTCTGCGAAACAACCGCATTTTTCCACTCTTCTCAAACGCGCATTACTGCTTCCGTGCTCTAGCCGAGATGAAGAGCTCAGTAACGTGGCCACCGGACGAAGTATTCTGTCACGGTGTGTTGATTACGCCCAGAGGTAGACGCACGAGGAAAGGGACAGGCAAAGGGCCACAAAACAATCACTGGTCCGTATGTCCCGAGGTTAAATCAAATAGGGTTTGAGCAGTATGCGCACAACTACCAAAGGGCTAGCTACTATCGTGAGCCATGCCAGGTCAGTTAGAGCGCACATGCCCCATATTATCATTTGGAGACCCCGATCTATTGTAGACAAACTGGAAAAAGGTCGTGGACTGAGGATATAGTCAAGAAAACTCATCAAACTTCAGGGAATACAGTCTGGTTATAAGTTAGTTACTCATAAGAATAGCAAGATCACATCTCCTGCGAAATAATCATTCCCAGCTAATACTTCGGACTTATGACAGAGGTCTTCATCAGAAATGCAGTCCTGCCAAGTTTTATGTCGTTGTTCCAGCCGAATCACTAGCCAGTTCGCGTTGGAACTAGCTGATAGTAACCTGGTGCGCCGGGGGAGGGGGGGGGGGAGACAGGAGCGGTTCACCTAGTGAGTTGATGTCTAAGTGCCACGTCTTTGGTTATAGCCACATGCTTGCCATATTTTCGTTAAAAGTGGATGCGTGAGTTTGGGTCTGTGAGTTAGTGCCTCATTACTGACGAGCTATTTTGTGGCAACCTCCGGCAAACTAAACTTTCTTCAGACGTGAACGTAAAATTTTACGCTTGCGTCGCAGGTTCGCCGGAGGCTAGCGTTGGACATTGCAGCGACCTCCACTACACTCCAGTTCAACCTTGGGAATCGGTTGCTTAAAAGTGGTACGTGGACGAGAGTTCATATAATGTTTACTAGAACGCAACAACTGCAGCGACCTCTAGTATACTCTAGTCCAACCTTGGGAATCGGTTGCCTAAAAGTGGTAAGCCAACTGGAGTTCATATGGTGTTTACTGAACGCCACGGCTCTAACAATTCCCCAACCGTTTTGCCGCGAACTGACGTAACTATTCGTGCTCCGGCAAATTCGGTGTGGGCGATGTCCATCACATGACGCGCGACTTGTAGATGACAATCATTGTGTCCCACTGACGTCCTCTGCTTTCATATACGTGCTGACAGCTCACATCGTGCCTAGACCGTGTAGTTTTAGGAGCAATTCCTATGCTTGATGTAGTAGACGACAGCTGATTGAACGACTGATGTGAGATTCAATTTTTCTTCGCCTAGATTAATTCACAGTGAAGTGGTGATTCCAGCAACTTATATGTGTTGATTTTACTCTTGGCTGACAAGCAGTATTTTCGTTTCCATCTTCAGTATAGGCAACAATTACTCCGACCATTCCGAAATTCACAATTTTGTGAATTTAGTATCCTGTAAACCGCCGAAGAACCGTAATTTCGTTCAAAAAGATTTTTCAAACACATAATCCGGCAATATATATGAAAAACAACACAGTGGAATATATGTGCTATACGGCATCGGCATGCGGTTATGCTGTGAAAAGTCCTAGTGGGCGCTATTCTCCAACTTCCGAAACTGAATGCCTTATTGCAGTGACCTTCCGGAAATTGCGTATATAAGACCAGCCCCAACAATTCCACTTAGACCGCCGTTAGGAGAACCAAGCTTGTAGAAAACAGTTGCTTACTTATAACAGCTGCGTGCGCTCCTCGGTAGAAACTCGGCGTAAGTGTCCGAAAGCGTTCCTGACCAGCCGTATCCTGAATTCGGGTAAAAAAAATATAAAATGTTTAGGGGTTACGTCATTATTCGGCAAAATCCACCAAAAAACGCGATCACAGCTATGTTAAACAAACGCATGCGACAAAAATCAATTAGCTCGACTTTTCTAGGTAACATGAAAATCGAAGGGCAACAAACTTAGGCACCGATTACGAATACTTAGTCGTCATTGTAACCAAGGAATATCTGCAGTAAGTACGATTTTTGCCACAAAAATTGAGCTAAACCACGTTTCGCATCGAACCGCGGGTAGCAGCCACAGGAGAATAGTTTTTTCCCCACTCAAATCCCTGGATTTGTGATTGTTACCCTCGCATTTGACCGGGAAACTACTGATTTCTGAGGGTTCGGCTACAGCACCAATTCGTAAGAGTTTTGCGGATAAGAAATTCTCCCCCCGATTACTGGCGTCTGAGTCAAGACGCAAAATTTTGTTCTGAACACAGTCTTCCATATCACAGGAAAAAATCGATCAACAAGTAACCGCCTAAATGTTAGCCGAACTGCCCTCCAAAAATAGTGAGGACGGGCAAACCACAAAGGTAGCTGCTTGTACTTGGTACAGCTGTGACGAAGCGTGATCCAGCCAGCATCGGTGAGGTTGCGAATTCTACTCCTCCATGCTTGATCGTCTGCGGCAGCGACTCCGGAAGGCTCAATCCACTGCCTTCTTCGATGTTGGAGACTGAATACCGAGGGTTCAGGAAATACGTCAATACGTTATCGAACTGCTTTGAGCAAGGTTCTGAGCTGGTCTTGTCTTTGATACCCCCGAGTAGGCAGCGGTCCCGGATCAGAAACAACAACACGCAACTCATGGGGTGAACGGCGCGTAACGTACCCAAACAATTTCAGTCGTCTCTCTTAGATCGTTTGAGATACCTTCGGGGTGTTGCTGCTGCGATTTCGGGCTGTTCCGTTCACGAAGACGCCGATGTGCTTGAGTCGATGGATGGTTCCCCGGCAACAGGGGTATAACATCTCCAGTTTTCGTTCATCTTCCATCAGCACAGCTCACCATTAAAAACTGCACTGTAGGAGAGAGCTGATGGATGCTCGGTGCACACAGATCTTTGGGATGATAGAGATATCGCGTTAGGTCCACGGACACTCCCAAAGGATTGACGATTTGACCGTAGCGAACGACGAAGTTCAGCATGTGCTCCACGCGGCGGGCGCAGCATCAATGACTTGCGCGTAAATTAGCTTATAGCGAGGCAGAATTGTGCAGAATCTTGCGCACTCTCTTCTTCCCTACTCACCCGGCTCTGATGTCAATGCGATCAGGCGCATTGGCTGACAAAGTCAAACAGCCCGTCCACATGTGCCACACGCGAACTGGATTAGGAACAACTTACTGAAACAATCGACTAAGGGAACTATGTCGTCATCACGTTGTCCACCTGCCAGCAGCTTCGTTCGGACACGTTTGAAGCAGCCAACTCCCAGGCAGACAGCCATAAATCCCGATGGATACCTCCTTTTGGTCAGATGCGCAGTTTGCAAAAATGTTGGCCTTGCCAGCGGTTAAAGAAAAAACGTCCGATATGACCTCACTCGCCCGGCACACTACATCCTCTAAGTCATTACAGTTCGACGCCAGCAGAACGAAATCTTTGAAGTAGATTTCCGTTGCTCGCGGCCATCAGAGAGTTAAAAGAGTGCGCCGAAGTGTGAGTATTTGTTCAATGCATCTACATCCAGCTCGGAAGCCGGCTACATTGGGCCTTATCCTCGAGTTCTACGGACTTAAAACCCCTGACGATACAACGAATGGATCCTTGCAGCACTGTCGATGAGTCTTGTGCCGCTGTAGCTATCACATCGTTTTTTCCTTTCTTGAAGACAGGCATGGCTATGGCCGAAGCTCAGTCCTCAAGACTATATCGACAAAAATGCCTTGATTTTAACGGAAATTTCGTCTTTTTTGAGGACCTTACTGCTGCGCAGGCTCTGTACTATACAGACGATTTCTTCCTAAGAAGGAGATCGCACGCATCCCCCTGGGTTGGAGGAAGATAAAAATCTATTGCAGGGAGGATTGGGGAACACAGCTGATTAGTCATCGGTGATGACGCGTTTGAAGTGCTCTTAGCCGTCTCGTAGATTATTGACTTCACTGATGAGCATTTGCTTCTACGTCTTCCTTCTACTAAAGTTAAAAACAATACAAGATTTCCGTGAGTAGAGTCTAGGCAGCACTCTCGTAGTTTTGTGATATCGAGCCTCCTGCACGCGGAAATATGGGCGACGAAGAGGAGCTAATCTGCAGGCGAATGCAGAAATTGGGCACTGTTCATTCTAATGCCATGCCGTAATAAACCCAGCCAGGAGATTATACCATCGTCAGTCTGGCTGACCGTATGACCGTCGATAGAATAACAGGCCATCAGATGTTTGTCGCGATGTTGAACGCAATTGCTGATGATAAGCAAACGGTTATAGTCAGCAAAGCCCGAGATAACTTTACCGCAGTTGTGTCAAGAAGCAAACCGGAAGTTATCAATAGAGTAGTTTTAAACGAGTAACTGACCCGGCAATAATTACTAGACCGGCGCGATAAATCTTTAAAGCAGTTTTGAGAACTGGCCGGCAGCTGATACTGATGAGTAGGTGAAGATGATTGGTGTCCTAGTAAGACGCCCCTTTTGTCGTACCTAGACTGGCTGGTCACTGGCTGATCGTTCGGCAAGCAATGTATACTCGCCAGCTGGAAGACGAATGACACGTCCCGACTGCCAGAGGAGTTTCGTGCGTCGGTGTAATAAAGGATGGAGGGAGAGTGGACCGACGGTATTTGAGTTTTTTTGAGGAGTAGGTTGTACTGACAACTGCGCAGTCAGGCTCTGGGTATCAAGGCTGCCGAGCGTATACGCCTGCATTCAATACCATTTGTCCGTCATCAACTGAGTGGTCCAGCTCTAACGCTACTTGCCCGCACCACAGAACCAGAGTTGCAGTGAGTGTCGGTTAATGTGGACGCCGTAGCACGGAGCACAATACTTGAGTCAGCCATTTCAAAGAGATCTGTAAGAACTTTTTAGGGGAGAGTCTTCACCAGTTATCCGGTGTTTTTATTTGAGGTTGCTTCTCTTACCGTTTTAGCTCAAACCTAACAGCCAGTCAGTGGTGCAAAACAACCCTGCTCGGTGGTGGTTCACGGTCGCCATGTAGATATACTTTTGTCGGGCTTTGTCATACCTTATGAGGCGGTCGGCCTGTTAGGCCTTGCTCTTCCGTGCCCTCGTAGCACCGTCACTTATGGTTCGCAACTGCCTACGCGTCAGACCCGAGAGTCTGCTTAGCCTGAATTGGGCCATAGCTGATGATTGCTTCACTCTTGGGGACGCTGTGTGGACAGATGGGCTAAGAGAATATTCCAACTGTCGATTACGGTAAGCAGCGCTCTGTGCGTGCGCTTGGGTTCTTGGTCTAGCTACTAAACCAGCTGAAGGCGACAGCAGCTACTTAGGCGCGCCCATCTGACAAAGAGTGTGAACAGAATGTGGTAAAAATCCGTTTATAAAGTCACATGGACGCCAAGAAAAGTAAACTTGCCCAAAAAGAGGCTCGAATAGCTGTAGAGTCGGAAAGCGTAACATTCTTTGAGTGAAAATCCACACCTACAATGAGTAAAAATTCAGGTCACATATGAAGAGCAGAATACCGATTGTGACTGGTTTTTGACCATCATATGTGTCAAATATAAACCGCTCTAGAATGCTGGCCATATAAAATCTTCTTCACCCTACCTCGATTTTCCAACACCACTGTTACCTACTAGCACAATTTTAAAGTTCGCCAAAACTTCGTTCGGGTCCGAGTTCTGAGCCATTGGGCCCTTAACCTGAGTGATTTTTTAGGGCTGTCTGATATTACGAATCACGAAAGTAGCAAAGTCCAAGTGCATGTGAAGGTTATGGAAAGCATAAGGCTGCCTAGAAATCCGCAAATCAAACAATATTTAAAGTAAGCTTAATTCTTATTCTAACTTAAATGATCACTTCGGCATTGTCAATTTCATCGTCCTGGTTGTTTATGGTCTTTCCGATGAGAATTCGCATCGATCATTGAGGTTTTGCTAATTTGTACAGTTCTGAGGAAGCACCTAAAATGGAGTAGAGGTATTTAGTGAGGCAAATAGGGCCAAAAATCAGGAACCAAATAAGGGGATAGAAGAACATGGTAAGCAGGGATCGAAAACTCGATGAAGTAACACAAATGTTGTAAAAATATCAGGCGACAGCAAGGGCATCATGCAGGCAAACCAGTGGAGAAACCACATGGCAAAATGCATAAACCTGAGAATGTGTAGGTTTCAGTGGGTGCTTGTAGTTGCATGAAACTTTGGCCTAGACCAACAGCTTGGGTTTTTGGAGTCCCTCTGAAAGTTATTCGTGTGTGTTTTATCTTATACTGACCACTGAGAAACCAACAGGGACCTATGGGAGGGATAACGTATTAGCGGTAACAGAACAACAATATACGATAACCAAATTGTATCGCATGGAAGATGGACGGTTACTGCGCTCTTGAGAGCACTTAAAAATCTCAACCAGCAGTAGCACGGAGGACCTAGACGAAACAGTTCTAAAGTCTGTAGGTCATCCACTTAAAATTTGGTGCAAGAAAGCTGAATACGAGACAACATTGTAAAGCATAGTAATAAAGACGCATAAGAAGATTCAAATTAAAAGCACATGGTTTGCACACATACAGCCCTGACGTTGAAAAACCAAAATTCATGGAAATAAAACCATACCATTTCCATCTATGACTGTTAGTGAGCTGCTTCCTAGAAGGAATATAGACAGCGAATTGAGAAATTTCCACGCCAGTGTCCTTGTGCGTAAAAATATCCGAAGAGTTACTATTCCTCTGCGATAATCTTGTTTCACCAGCTAGTATGCGTACGAGTGATTTGCATTGCTAAAATAAATACTCCCGACACTACAAGCATGGAATTATAGAAAGACAGAGGCACGGGGCTATGCCCTTTAACACTGCTGGCAGTCTTGCATACCCAACATGATTCTTTGGTCATTGGTAGGAAGGGAATATTTACTTACACTCCTATTTATGACCATGTGTGAAATGGAAGCAAACGCAGTATATACGATAAAGTACATTCTAGGGATTTAGTCTTAGGGAAAATTGCCCTCTTGGTAAACATATATCTAAAAGTTTTGTCTTTCATGCTGTAGGTCTGCACAAATTCCTTGGAGTATATGAGGACTTTCATTAATCGTGCTCTGTGGGTCGCAGAAACTTTTCTGTGGTTTAATGTTCAACAGACTCTTTTTCCTATGCTCACGTAGAATATGCATGTGTAGTCTTGCGACTAGTCTTGCGTTTCCCAAAACATCAGTACACCATAAATGGGGTTCCACTAAATGAAGTGGACACGCAAAAAGACCTAGGTGTCTGGACATGCTCAAACTTTCTGCCCTCTCAGCACTGCAAAAGAGTCGTCCAAAAGGCAACCAGCATCATCCACGGGATTAGGCGTGCCTTCCAAATCTTTCCTCCAGAACTCTTCTCACAGGTATTCGGCACGTTCGTCAGACCGCACTTGGAATACGGAATGCCATCATGGATGCCCTGGATGAAGAAACACAGTGATGCCATAGAGCAGGTGCAACGACGGGCCACAAAACTGGTGGACGGTCTCAGGACTCTGTCATACCCAGAAAGACTGATCCAGTTAGATTTGTTCCCCCTATCCTATAGACGAATGAGGTGTGACCTGTTATGGACATTCCGCATTATCCACGAGCATGAATGTTCGCTCAAATCTGACGACTTCTTTGAATTCACGACCACGAGTCACCTGCGCGGTCACCCTTACCAAGTCAAGCGAGAGCGTACACGCCTAGACAATCGGAAGTTTCCCTTCAGCCAGCGTGTTGTTCGACCATGGGACTCACTCCCAAGTGAAATAGTGGCATCTGATACAATCACTGTATTCAAAAGGCAGCTCGATCGTTTGATCTTTGATAAACAACGACTTCCACGACGAGACTGTTTGCGGCCAGCCATGAATTTCATTTCTTGATTTCATCCCTAATTTATACATCCCTGACTTTTAATTAGATGCCTCCTCTCAAACTATGCAAATGACTGCACTTTATGCTGATTGTATATAACTGCACTTAAAATTGTATATGTACACTGAGAAGACCGCCTGCCGCACTCTTCGCAGTCCCGCATTGTGAACGTTTTCCGTGAACAAATATGTTACTGACAAAATTTTAGTAAAATGTACATTTAACATTTTTATTTTATGTACCGTTTTCAATAGGGTCATCAAGGGCATTGCCTATGACCCTAAAATACACTATTATTATTATTTATAGCGAGATCCCTAGAAGAATGGACAGATATTCAGGGTTGATGAATCCTCTGCTAGTTTATGTCGGATTTTTGAAAATCTGACATAAACTAGCGCCCACATGGCTACAGCCATGTGAGCTCTAAAAAAAGTTGCCATCATTTTCGTTGTCACGAGGATCCGAAAGTTTCGAAGAACGTGTGAGTACGGAATAACAAGTATCTAGACCGGTTTTATTCTCCTTACAAGCTCTTTGCGAGCTCGCTAAGATAATCGAAGAAAGACATCTTCTGAGGCCTGAGAAGTTATAGTATTGAAGGGCGGTGCCATTCAGGTGGATCATCGAGCTCATAAGCTGAATTTCCAGTATTTGACGTTGCTTAATGTCAGTTGCTGCATGTCAGTAGAAGCAGATGGATCCTCTGCCGACCAACTAATTTCTTCTTTGGGTTGTTTAAGATTTTAGCTGAAGTCACCTAATTCGTAAACATGTATTTTCGGTCAGTTTCCATTTGTTCTGGAAGCAATTTAAAAAATTATGGTAGAGCAGGTGCGCTATCGGCTCCCTGCCAGCACCAGCCCCGCCTAACCCCCTCAAATATGGCTGGCTAGAGGGGGCTATGAGGGGGCTTGATGGGGCTGTATAAGGGGTTGCGGCGGAGCATTCTACGCGACAGTCCCGCCTGGCCCCACCAGCGAAAAAATGCGCAGGGGACGCCAGATTTCCGCCCATTTTTGGCACTCCTTTAAAATATCGACCTGTATGATGAGTCCCTGAGGCGCACACACATAATACCTGTCGGCAGAAGTTTTAGAGCTCGGAATAGGCATTTCTGGTTTTGGGGGATTAATTGCCAACTGCTGCCGACGTCGAGGAAACCTCAGACTCAGGCTCTTCAGTGGCCTCATAATGAGCCTTCATCTGGCGCTTAATGCGCTTGTATATGGTGATTCGGTGATAGCCATGGTAATTACGCTTCATAATTGCTTTGGATTTCCAGTAAAAAACGATAAACACTTTGTGTAAGTGGACGATGAACACCAATGCTAAATAGTACATACATAGGCATACAAGTTGACTACTTGAACTAGTTGGTGAGTAAATACCAAAACAATTAGCATAAGATACATAGATTAAATAAAGCAAGTATCAAGAGCATAAAAACAGCATTGGTTGACGCAGGATATCATTCGCGACCCGCGGGTGTAAACGGATGCTTTATCCATGATTTATAAGTCACTTTAGATAAATTAGCTCCTTTTAATGCCAAAGAACGTACAATGAGTGTTGCTTATAAAACACAACTTTCGATGCAAATAAGCTTCAAAATGCTTAAATCTAGAGGGCGCTCTGGCCCCACCCAGCCCCTTCCCAGTCCCGCCTATGAAGGGGCCATGTGCTGGCAGAGCTGAAACCAAGCGTAATCTTATTATTGCTCTGGTTTAAAAAGAAGAGTGGCTTTTGCCTCATGAGGGATACAGATAGGAAAAAGTCAAGAAAAATTATGTCTTTGTTTGGGCATTCGTCTCTAGTGCTTTTTGCAACCTAAACGCTTGAATTAGATCGTAATTGCTGTACTCGACTGAAATCAACATTCTCCGGCATCCATGATAAGTATAATATTCTTGATCGCCAAAATACTTAACAAGTGACATCCATCCATATACTGCAAAATTAGCCTTAGCTCCAAGGCACCGGCGCGCAGAATCGACAACGAACGACAATGCAAGTGGAGTAGGAGAGGAGAGGAGAGGAGAGGAAGTCGCCTTATATCGAAATCATAAATTTAAAATTTTCAGCAAAAGATTGACTCCATTCACTATGGACAGTAAATAAGTCAATAGATTATTGAAGCGTCAAAGTTTAACACAAAAAAACGATTACTATGAGGATAGATCAAGTCTTAGCTTCTGTATTTCTATCTCTTCGCACGTAAGATAGCGCGCCATGAATGACAAAACAGAAGCTCGAAAAGCCGATGTGCGACATGGCATAAGTCGGAAGCTGCGGCGCATCTGGAGGGAAGGCTTCGCAGAAATAAGATCAAGATGCAAGCGATGGGCAACGTCATCTATAATCCGACCAGCAAATTGCTTGACCGTATTGAAATGTCGTTGTATGATAGTGTCGACTAAAAAAAGAAAAGAAACACCAGCGGCAGAAAAGAGTATATGGAGGACTTGTTTCAAAACTAAAAGATCCTTCTTAAGCAAGGCGGTAAAAATAACAGGAGAGTAGTGTAGGATAAGAGGAAGAATGCAGGCATCGATTAATCGCCAGACTACGGGTTGAGGTGTGTGGCAGGAACGTAAACGACGCATGTGATAAAGAAGTTTACGAACTTTAATGATAATGATTTTTTTACTTAATGCCACTTTACAGGCATTGTCAGGGAGGCGTTAAAAACAAATCCGGCCAGCAGTGAGAAAAAACTCCTGTGGGTAGTTATGATTTGGGGAGTAGGAGGAAAAATCTGCTGGCGACAAACTTTTGACCGTCAAGAAGGGAGGGGCTGCACGGTCTCGGATAATATCAGTCGCCAATTTCTTTCATGAATTTGGAGCTAGTCCAAGCAGAAGCGCCGAAGAACATCTGTCGCTGTTGGCCAAAGAAATTTTTCCTGGTGAAACCGACCATAGTGGTCAGAGACCACAAACGCCATCGCTACGGTAGAGTCGACCAGAGGTTTCAGCACCCAAAATGTGTGGGAGCTTTTCACAAACTGTCGACCGTCAAGAAGGGAGGGGTTGCATGGTACCGGAGATTATCAAACGCCAATTCCTTTCCTGAGTTCGGGGATAGTCACACTAGAGGCGCCAAAGAACAGCTGTCGCTGTTGGCCAAAGAAATTGTCCCTGGTGAGAACGGACATACAAACAAACGCCATCGCTACGGTAGAGTCGATCAGTGGATTCAGCACCCAAAATTTGTGGGAGCTTTTCTGAATGCAAAAATCGAGTAGTAGTTCTCCTAAATAAAGGATAATTTTGCAGATTTTTCACACTCATTGGTAGTTTATTCCAAATAGCAATTGCATTTACAGAAAAGAGCCGACGATGTTTAACTGTACGTGCCAGAGGAAGAAATAAAAAGACCTCACGGTGATTATTTCGTCGTGGGTAGACATGATGTCTTAAAGAGGTGAGTGGGTTAAATGCGTGATTATATAAAAGTTTAAATAGCAAAAATAGTCCCTTTTGTAATCTACGGAACCAAGAAGGATTAAGGCCTGTATGCCAGCAACGTTCTTGGTAAGATAAACGTCGGTGTTCCGGGGTTAAAACTCTCTTGGTAGAAAAGTGTTGAACGGATTCTATTTCCTTCCGCTCAGTAGCACGCATGAGGCTAAATAAAAACGAACAGTATTCCAGGCCAGGTCTAAAGTACATGTTGGAAAGGCGCATTCTAATGTCCCTAGTTTTGGAGGATAAACCCGGTCGTTCTACGTGCTTTGGAGACTATCAAGGCACAGTGCTCCGAGAGATTGAGACTCTTGGAGTATGATACGCCCAAATCCCTTATAACCCTGGGCACATTTATAGCGTGACCTTCAATACTTAGTTGTGGTTGGTGGTCGTCGCCAACCACCATGACTGAGCACTTATGCCAAGAAAGGGAAAGGCGCCATGTGCGTCACCACTGGGCGAAAGCCTGTAGATCGCTCTTTAGGAGCTCAAGCACGATGTCACGATCTTCCAGTTTATATCGATATGCAAATTTAAGATCATCGGCATACATGAAAGGCTTACCATTCTGAAATAAATCGGGTACATCATTAACGAAAAGGCAAAATAAAAGCGGCCCGAGTACACTACCCTGAATGACTCCACTCCTCACACTTGTGACGTAGGAAATTGCATTTGAAATCTTAACTAGCTGTGTACCTGCGTCCAGGTAAGAGGATATAAAATTTAAAAATTCGCCACCTATTCCGACAGAGGACAGTTTCAAGAAAAGAAGAGCATGGTCAACACGGTCAAAAGCCTTAGTGAAATCGAAATATATTATGTAAAGTGCAGAACCATTGTCCCTAGATTGGAGAACATAGTCAAAGAAAGAGAGTTGACAGGTGTCACAAGATCGAGCTTTGAGGAATCCATGCTGAGCAACACTCAGTAGGTTATTCTCTGTTAAATGACACATCATTTTATCTTTGATCTATGTCTCTAAGATCTTCGAAACTGCGGGGAGGGTGTTTATTGGTCGAAAGTCATCAAATGACTTGGATTTGCTGTGCTTAGGAATGGGCAAAATGTGTGATTCCTTCCACAAGGTAGGATAAGCTTCACTTTCAAGAGCGAGATTAAATATCTTGCATAAGATGGATGGGAAAATCGTATTTGCATCGGCTTTTAAAATGCTTACTGGGACACCATCAGGTACTGGACTAGAAGATTGACGAAAACTCCGAATCGCAACAGTCACATCCCACAGAGTGAATGTTATAGTTTCTAGAACTGCCCCGGTCAATGCCTGGATGGTCGGAAGCGGAGTGGTCGAGTCTTCAATAAACGTAAATAGAGACACAATATGAGGGGAGAATGAAAGATTTGAGGGAAAAGTAACGCTGACGTACCTGAAGGAGCATTCCTCATTAGGAAGGATGTCAGAGGATTCAGGACTAGCAGAGGGCCGCAGTCGGAAAATACGCTGAAATGGTTTTTGGTTGTTCATTAGGAGACCATTTTCCTCCGACCATATTGGGACATGGTTAAGGATAGCCTTTAGATACTGCAGGTGTGTGTGATATTTGAGAGGATGTCCAACAATCACTTAATCAGCATAATTAACTAAAAGACAGTCATTAGTGGATCTTAGACCGTCGGTGTGGAGGTAGAAAAGGTGAGGGATAGAATTGAACCTTGAAGAACTCCACAGTCATTGGGAAGTATCGTAGATTTCCGCTTGCCAGATTGGACAATTTCAGTGCGAGAAGTAAAATAATCGCAAAGCCAGGAGACGACCCAGCCTGGAGAGCCGCACGCCGAGGTTCTGGTAAGGAGAAGAGGGCGCGGGATGGTATTGAAGGCGGAGAAGTAGTCAAGAAAAGCGCATGCGTACTCGCGGCAACCCTTGTCTAATTCTTTTAGAGCATAGTGGATTACAAGAGCTTTTTATGCAAATTGTAAATGATCGGAAAAACTGGAATAAGAAGGCTTTATAATACCTAGAGCAACTCCTTCAGCAAGCTTAGGCAGTGTGGAGGAGCAGGCAATTGGACGAAAAGATTTAGGATCAAAATTAGCAGTTGTTTGGGAATGGGAGTGATTCTCAGTGTACGCCAGGCGTCCGGAATCTTGGACTCCATAAAAGACATATTAATTAGGCGTGTTAAAATAGGGGCTAACTGAGGACTACATGATTTAAGAAGAAAAGGCAAGACGCCATCGGATCCGGCAGCTGTTGATCTACGGACCTTTTTAAGGTGTTTCTCTATTGTTGCCACAGACACGGGTTGGAAGGCACATGGCCATAGAGGAATGTCATCTGAGGGACGATGCGAGTCATTGTGACTGAATATAAAGTTGTTATTTAAATCAGAATCCACATCTACCACTGTGTTGCGATGGCCATTGAGACACCTAAGATTCTTCTAAATCTCAGAAGAGGAAGGGGAAAAGAGGGGGTGGAAGAAGAGGTAAAAAGTTGGCTAACAAACAGGCTATTTAGCTTGTTAATATCTGTTTTTATTAAGACGCTAACATCCTTAAGGCTGTCACGTAAGCCTAGCTTGAAAGGAGTTCTTTTTTACGTCATAACGATTTCAGATAGGGACAAGAAATTATATCCGCTCGTACCATTACAGTATCAAGAGGGCAGCAAATATCAAAAATTTCATTTAAAAACGCTGTTAGGTTGGAAGAACTGGATTCAACATTCAATTGTTCAAGGAAAGCGGGGATAGTACAAGAAATGCCAATCTGAAACAGGAAAATGTTTTGTGCGGACGTGTTGCGAACCTTAACCTTTCTCTCAGGCTTGGCTAGCGGTGCACGTTTAGAAGTGGAATACATTTTTGGAAGACAAAATAAAGGGGAATGATCAGAACCTGACAAGGGAGCCCTATTTTTAACGCAAAAATCTTGCTGTGGTTGGTCAGAATATGATCAAGAGGGGCATCTGCGTGAGTATTAAAGGAGACAAGATCATCAAGTGCAATCACAAAACAAGGAAATCAAGGTAAAGCACATCGATCACGGAGAAAGGGAGCGAAAATCGAAGCCAGGGTCATGCTAGATGAATTACTACTTAACAGTTCACACTGAAACAACTCGGGGCATGCAGTTATAGAAATACGCTAGACGACGTCCGAATGGGGACTTCTTGCAGCTGTCGATTAATAATTGAATTAAGGTCTACTAAAAGAAATATAGCAGCTAGTGATACATATTGAACCCAGTGGGATTACACAACCTCTCCTTCGCCTCCTCAGTTATTTATAATCTTCCTTTTGAAAGAAGTTTTTTTAACCTACATCATACTCTCAATTTGCGCGTCATTGGTTATACAAAAATTCAAAACTGATGAAGTCAATGTGCAAATGAATGTATGAGCTTATTTTCGGTTTTTCCGTGTTTTGAAGAGACTGGCAGCACTAAGGAAGGGCCTAAATGAAGCCATTATATCCTGTTTTTTTGGCATGTAACCGTACGGGAACTAAGGATGTCCCAGACGATTTTTCACGATGTTTAACTCTTAGTCTATCCGAAATTTATGAGCTTCGAATTTGATACCCTATCAGCGGCCGCGACAGACTGAGCCTCCCAGTTCGAGTCTCCTCCCTTCCAAGCCCTCATCGCCTTTCTTGGTTACAAATGTGTTCGAACGACAGCATGTCATCCAGCAGCCAGCGGCATAGTCGAGCGCTCCCACTGTCAACTAACGGCCGCTCTATGTGCCGCAGGGGATCTAGCAAACTGGTCTGCCCACCTACCTCTGGCGCCTCTTGGCAGTCGCGTGGCACTGAAATCAGATCTGTGCCACGGTGCATCCACATCAGTGTTCGAAACGGCCTTACGACTTCCAGAGAAGATGAGCATCCCAGTCTCTCGTTGTGCCGACGAGAGTTCTGTCAACTTTTTGCATCACCTGAGGTAATTTATGTGTTTGTTTTCCCCCGTTCCGCGGCAAACTCCATCAATTGAGTCTTATGTCGAAAAGGGTTCGACGGACTGCACTAACGTGTTCGTCCAGTGTGGCCGTGTGTGTAAGACGTCGGAATCCCCCTAGGACTGACTGCACTGGGCGTTGTCACACAATAGAAAGATCTTCCGGATCCCCCGCAGCGACAAGGAGGACGTGGTCAACATTGACCGGGTAGGAGCTGCTGTCCCAGAGGAACCTCCCGACCTGGCCGAGGGACGAAAATGTTCTTACCCCCTATCCCTGCTTCTTCACTTACCGTACTTCCATTCTCCCACCCAGCCTCTGCCGCCGTCTCTGCTCGCAACTCTTTCAGTGCCACTGATATTCGCACTACTCGTGACGGTTGTCGAGCTCATCCTCCTGACCATCGTATCACACATGTTCTGGCCGCTACATGCCTCTTTCAATCTGGCCGGGAGCACTGCGGCACTCTGCCACCGTGGTTGTTGGTCGGGCCGTCTACTTATGCGGTCTTCGGTTTGTCTCACGACTCTTGTCAGTCGGATACTTGCTCTGCGCTTTACTTTGCACCAGCATTTCGCAGACGTGTCCAATCGACGTTCCATCCGTCTGTGATTGGCTCCAGGCAAGCAAAACCCAGACTCACACGTGTGCTTCCGGTCGGGGACTAATAGGCTCGACGTTTGTTATTTGGTTGGTTAGGGCACCTGCTGAAATTGTTAGTTGGGATGCTCGCCATCGTTAGCACGTCGTAGCTTAAGCCTAAGGGGGGTGAAATGGGGCAAGTACATCTACCTGTGATCTGAATGGGACATAGAAAACAATCTCTCAGAGAACCAGTCTCGTTCTCTCCTCCAGCTGCTTGTGCATTTTTAACGCCTACCAATGGCAATTATAAAACAAGAAAATAAAGGGCAAATCGAGCAAAGTGACTAAAATGACAACCCGCGCGATTAACTCGTTTCACACAGGGTTGCATTTTCTTATTTCCAACTAAACCAGATTTTACACGAATACAGTATCTGGCCGCTTTCACTAACTGCCAAAAAATTTCTGAAATGCGTTTTCGATGAAAAAGGATTACTGGGGGGTCGGGTTGTAATACTGATTATCGTGCGGTATAATCCCAGAATATTTCAGTCAAGTCGGGCTGTGAGCGTTCTCATCAGTTCCGTTGCAATCGCCTGTAAAATGCGATACTCGGCAAAAGTGATTGTTTATTTAGTACACATGTTTCCGAGTTGACTTCGATACGCTTGTAAATTCAAATATATTTCACAGAAATAGCATACAAAAATATTCTTTCATGTACTCGTTTAGTAGCAAATGGGGTCTTATACAAGTTGGATAAATAAAGTAAGGGTACTTTTGATTTAAAATGTTTGTTTTTAGTGGATTTTTTAGAATCGTAAAGGGCCCATTCATACAGCATCATATTTGCCAATTTATTGATCCTGCTTATGAAGCATTGTTCACTTTCACTGCAAAATGTATGGGCACTATACGACATCGTTCTACTAGCATGGAGAAAAGTAGGAATTTCCTTATATGTATGTAGCATGTAGTTTGGAAACCGTAAGCGTGAGTGTAACTATAGGTTGGATGCAGAATTTTGCATAAATTGCAAGTCTCTCTCTCTTAAGGTACAAAGTTTGAAAAGGGCGTAATTTACTAAAAAATGAATCTAACATGTATTGTTTGCACACTTATAAAATATGCTTGAATTTATACAACATCAACAATAATTTGAAAAACACATACTACTTCAGTAACAATCTGTTTATCAACTGGGTTCGGATAAGCTCATTCAAAAGTTTGTGCCCTGGCATGGCCAAAATGCTTTGGGATTATACTGCATGATTATCAATGCCGCCACCCCACCTTAATGGTCCTTTCTCACCGAAAACGAATTTCAGAATTTCGGTTAACATTCCCTCGGATAGGCCAGATACTCCGTGGCAGCATAGCAGCTCCTGCTGTAGTCGGACGTTCAAGTGTTCACGCGCTCGAAGGCGCAGATGCAGGCGTCATGCCCACATCAGCAAATGTGTGCAGTCTGTTCCATAAACACACGACTACAGGATTTCGGCCAAATGTTTGAGAACTTTTGTGCCGACGGAGCAGGCTTTTGCATGAGAGAATGAAGAAACAAAACTTTAAGTCAGTATAAGGCTCTATTACAATTTGTTTTTCTACAATACCAAACACTAAGAATTGTCAAATATGGACGGCCTACAGTTATAAAGCCACCTAATATACCGGTGTTTCTTTGCATTTGGATTTGAAATGTAAATATTACGTTGTGCTTAAGTTGAATTGGTTGTCGTCACCGGTCAACAACGCAGTAACGACCCCCTGAATAGCGCCTACCAGTCGGTCTGGAGGCTCCGGTGATGGGCGCAACGGGTTTTGATTATAGAAGACTCAGACGACACCTCAGCATTTCGGACACCGTGAAAAGTACTGTAAAAATAGACCAGACTTAGGATAATGTATTCTCCTCAGGCGCAAAAATTACTAAGTGGCACATCTACGAGAACCAGTAGCAGACGCACCGTTAAGCAAAATGTGACACCGGAAATTCTAAAAAATACAATTCACAAGATCAGAAATGCACATTGCTATTCTCTGAACGGAAGCTTCCACGAATACCGCCATTGAAGATGTACCACAAGGAACTATGAGTGTGTTGAGGCAGGGATTACACCATCTGGATATATTAGTAGCACAGGGCAGTTTTCTCTGGCGAACAAAAGGCCAGTCTAGATGATCTGAACAGTTAAAACTACCACTGGCAGTATCTGCATAGATTCCATGCCGCAGTAGACGATAATTTGGAGGGGAGGTGGCCTCGGGAGCGTTCTTTTCGCGCAATAATTATGAGTTGATGTTTATGGGGGGGGGAGGGAGGGGGGAAGGGGGGATGGGACAATACTTGGTCATCCATCTAGACTTTTGTCGCTCAACTGCCCCCATTTGTGAGCCAATACAACGATGAAGGCGTAGTTTTTCTACGGGACAAATGGCCAGAAGGGAGAAATACTGGCCAAGAGACAATCGGGCTGATACAGGGGTGTGTTTATCCGTGAGTCACGATCCTGACCCAATTAGGAATCCAAAGGACAGGTCTTATCTAGGAATGTCTTATCTACCAATGTTTTCCTCCGACGACTACTAACCAATAGGGAGTTCAAAGGCGCTTGCCTATATTTCCCTTGATAAACGGATACTGATGTATATTGCAAAAACCGAATTAAGCAGCAGAGGAATCGAGTACAGGGGGCTGTCCGGCAAAGATGGGATGTGTGGCTTTATAATTGTGGAACATACATCTTCTGGCCATTCTTATTACTGGATATTATATTGGAACAATCTGTAGGAAAACCTTTCTCGCACTAGACTTTCTCACTTCATACTTGCTCTCTCTCCCTCCCTCTCTCTATTATTCAAAATTTGGACTGATCCGAGCAAAACTGTCAAAATTGTGGCCAAAATCAGGTGGACCTAATATTTTCAAGGCAGATTAAGTATCACTGAGGTCAAGAGATCTCTCTCACAAGCCATCCTATACATTTTTTTTCGAATAACTGTCATGCAGTCATTGCTCACCTTTCGCCATCCTTTGTTGGTCATTACAACAGAAGACGATCAGCATATCTTCCAGTTTTTTTCACCTGCTTTGTTTATTTATCGTTCAGCCCTAAGTTTAAACTACCGATCATGACTTAATCGGTATGGCCGTCAAGTCGATGAAGGAAACATGTGACAGGGCCGGGCAGCATCAAAAAGCGAAATCTGTAGGAATTTAAATATTGTGTGCAATTACTGCTGTTGAATTTCCTCAGAAAGTAACTGCTGACTTAGAGTAAAACAGTTTGAACTAGGGCCCATGGACGCAGACCAAAATTCGACATGGATATTTGGACTGAAGTCCATCAGCCACAGGGGGATAACAGCGTAATATTCAGTAAACTGCCAACAGACAGCTAGTACCTTATTGGCAACCATACTGGGCTTTTAGCTAGTATCTGTGCTGCTAGTATGGTATCCTGTAACACCAATGTATACTACTAGCTGCCTATTGGCAGTTTAATGAATATTACGCGGTTTTCCGGCTGTGGATGATGGACTTCGGCCCAAATATCCATGTCCAATTTTGGTCTGCGCCTATGGGCCCCAGTTCAAACTGTTTTACTCTAAGTCAGTAGTTACCTTCTGAGGAAATTAAAAAACAACAATTTCCAAACTGGAGTTCTCACAACTGCGTCATACGGTGGCAGAATATCGGAGGAAAACTTGTCTGGTTTTTAGGTTATACCTGTGTAGCAATTTGTAACCCCGGCTGTGATTGATTTAAAAAGAGGCATGAGTCTTACGTCCTGCCCGATAGAAGTGAAAGTTTGACGGCGACCACCGATGAGAGCAGAAAGCCAAAAGTGTTGATAGATTCATGATGCTCTGTGTGGGCCCACAGGGGCATATGTACTTTGGGAGGGAGAGGAAGGGCAGCAGAGGGGAAGGGGAGGTAAGAGGCATGGGGGGGAGAGAGCAACTACATGAACAGAAGCCAAACTTACAGCAACTGTGCTCGTGATGTTTCGGTGAGGATGATGCAATGACATTAAATAAATATATTGACACGGGTGATGCTCCTCTGCCCTTACGAAGGGGGGGGGGTGGGAGCGTGCGAAAAAGTGTGCGTATTTCTGAATTTGAATACAGAGAACATTTTCCCCCATTTGATCGCTCTTTCTCTGGTTCTAATGAGGTTGTGCTATCCTCGCAAATGTTCTGTACGTGTTAACCGACATACTGGCGATGTCCTTGTGCAGCAGCGTTTATAGATGGTTGATCTGGGGCTTGCGCCGCCTTCTTTCGTTGTCG